ATTAGCAGCCATTGATAGTCTCTGCCTTAGCCTTGACACTCATGTTCATCTGAGTCTCAATGAGTGTTGTGTGTTTATATATAGATATTTGGGGAGACGTTGGTCGGGGGGGAGGAGGGAGGCACATACTGCTCCATTTCGAGTACCATGTTTGTTTGTTGTTTAACGCTGAACTCAGCAATATTCAAGATACATGACATCAGCCTGTATATAATCGGGTGTGATATAGTCAATCCAGTGATTGACATCATGGGCATCGACCTACGCAATTAGGAAAAATGGTATGCATCAAACGAGTCAGCGAGCCTGACCACCCGAAACCGCATGGGTTGCTGAAGACCTCTTCTAACCCGGATTTTCAGTTCCATCATTCAGTTCCCTTAATGAAACCTTCAACAACATGCATAATACAATGTACGTTGTTGTGTGGATGTTGAGTTATTTCAGTGGAAAGTGTCTTTACAATTGTCAGAAAATTCTACCTAGGTTTACCCTGGACATCTCAGTGATTATCGTTTAAGATTACTAAGGTCTGGACCAGTTAATCCTCGTTGATGGGGTATAATTGGTCTACATACAACCAATGCTTGTCGTAAATGGCCACTATGCTTGTCGTAAGAGGCGACTAACGGGATCGGATGGTCAGGCTCGCTGACTTGGTTGAAGCATGTCATCGATCCCAATTGCGTGGATCGATGCTCATGATATCAATCACTGGATTGTCTGGTCCAGACTCGTTGATTTACAGACCGCCGTCATATAGCTGGAATATAGCTGAGTGCGGCGTTAAACAACAAACCAAACAACCTACATAATGAGGCGACAAAATTGGCTTTGTGGTAAAGCTCTCTCGCTCGCTCCCTCACTCCTCCCCTCACACTCTCACACTGTCACTCGTTCGCTCACTCACTCACTCACTCACATTCACTCACTCACTAATACACGACAACCTACTCAGATGAGGTTTTATAGAGAGAGAAAATTATCTGAATAATTATATATTCCTCCCACCGATAGGAAATATATGTCTGGCCTTAATAGATGTGTTTTAGTTCCTGTCATATAGGAGGATAATATCCGTTGTCTACACGACCTTGACATAATCATAACAGCTGTCGAGGTTGTCGATTCAGGTGAATCTAAAAATGTCTGTTGTTAAATGGAGTTCCATTAGCGTAGATTGTGTTTCTCGCAGAATGCAACGACGTACAGGTTTAGCATTGTGACAGGAGGGCGAACAATGGAAGGGAGGTAACTCGCGTCACTTTTCGCGTGAATATGGTCACGTCGTCAAAATATTGGAAATTTAACACTGGTTGGTTGGTTGGTTTGTTGTTTAACGCCGCACTCGGCAATATTCCATCTATATGGCGGCGGTCTGTAAATGAACGAGTCTGGACCAGACAATCCATTGATTGATATCATGAGCATCGATCCACGCAATTGGGATCGATGACATGCATCAACCAAGTGCCTGACCACCCGAACCCGTTAGTCGCCTCTTACGACAAGCATAGTCGCCACATTTAACACTAGAATAAAAGACTTGCCTAAAATTCAATGATTAGTCTTTTCGTGGTTGTCTCCCTTAGCTCTGCCAGATCCGCTGATGGTGGGTTCGAATCCCGGTGGCTCTCCAAACATAGTTCTCAGTATTTTGGACCGCCTCCGTGGTCCAGTGGGGACAGCGTCTGCCCGGAGACTGGAAGGTCGTTGTTCGATCCCCTTGCCGCATCATACGAAAATACGTTTACAGATGGCGTTCGGCTTCAAGGTGTCTGAGTGGGTATGCATGTGAACGCCTCCGATCTGCACCAAATCGGCCGTCCTCGCACACAAGGGGGCACTGGGGTCCCAGTCGTCAAAGGCGCCACAATTCGCTGTGCACTGCGGGCCTTGGACACGCCAAATCCCTGTGATCGTGGGTTCGAATCCTGATTCGCTTGAGGTTGTTGTTGTTGTTGTTGTTATTGTTTTTGTTTAGGGTCCGGGGTTAGAGTCGGTCTCCAGCATCCTATGCGAGTAGGATCAGTTGGTCTGACTTGCTTGCGTGCCATCGCATCAACAGTGTGGTTCATAATATCAATAACTGGATTGTCTGGTCCAGACACGATTATTAAAAGACCGCACAGTGCGGCGTTAAACAACAAACAAACAAACACGCCTCGCATTGGGATTTCACAGCTTACTCGTATTAAAGCATTCATGAAGCTGATTGGTCACAAGATGCGCGTGATGTAAATCACTGGATTGTCTCGTCCAGACTCGATTATTTACAGACCGCCGTCATATTGCGGGAATACTGCTGAGTGCGGCGTTAAACAACAAACGATGAACCTGTCACAATGAGCCGACATATGTACTTCCTCCTGTGAGAGGATCCTAATGGCTGCAAAAGTAACAACAATCAGACGCTAATAATAAACCCTTTGTACAATACTATCGCGACCCTTCAACCCGGAACATATGAACGCAGTCGTGTCGAGAGACGTAGAACGAGTAATACTCGTTTTGTAAACCTGAAGGTTTTCCTGGAGTTAGACACTTCTTCTGCTGTAAGTATAACCATCTTGTCTTGTCTGTCAGTTTCTCGTGGAAGCAAGTATGTGGTTGAGTTAGTCCATGGGGTAAAATAGACCACTGAATGTGTCCCATTGTGTTAACAAATTAGCCAAGATTTGTTTGCTTGCTCGGTAGACGGGATGCGTGTGTGTGTGTCCATTATCAAGGTTCTGTAGGGGGAACGATCATTTGATATTCTGGACGGAGAAGGACTGGGATGCTGTTTACGAAGACATAGCTACAAAATAATTTGTCCTCGGGTTGTACCCCCAAATAATTCAGCCACTCGACCAGGTGGAAGTTGTGGGTGAAAAAGAAATTGTTTGGCTCCCGGTCTGAGAAAAACTAAATTTGATATCAGCACTAGTTGAAAATGATATTTCAACAAGACGACCCCTGTTGTGTATCATTCTGCGATGTTGTGCGAAAGAATTGCGTTATTGAGGTATGAACCTGTGAACATTTTCATGGTCTCATCCAATCAGAACACCATCCAATCGAAGCCCGGTATATATAATAGGAGTGTGATCATATTGAAGCGGAGACTTCGCGCAGGAATGTAACTATTACATCCTGTGTGGAGTTTAGGAATCAAGGGGAGGTTACTCTCATACCCGGCTGTGAGTGGCCTCCCTTCCGTTTTCGACTTGCGCGAATTTCTCTGACGGTTAGAGAGGTGTAGGTATGTCTTGTTTTTATTTGTTTCAAGCAAGCAGTATCACTTGTCGACTGATTCATGTTTTCTGTGGATATTCTATGCATTACCTCTTGGAGCTGCGAGACATCTCTTTATGAAACTTCATCTTAAACTGTTCAAAGGGCTCCATCATTCATGGAATATTTAGATTCAATACTGAGCTCATATCACAAACCCTAAACACGTTCCATCTTACTATGTTAACATAATCAAATCCCACTTTGAATAACACTGCATGTTTTTCAAAATGTAAATGATCATTAAGGGCTGGGACGAGTGCAAATTTACTACCAGGGGACCCGACTCTACCCGGGTATCCACTGTACATGTAGGTCTCAAGAGTTGGGCACACAAAGTCACATTGGGAATGGTTTAACTGTACACATAGCCCTGGCCAAAACTGTTCAGGTGAGGTGAGGTGAAATGGGGTTTAACGTCGCGTCCAAGATTTTTGCACTTATATAGCGACGTGCATGTACGTGTGTGTGTTTGTGTGGCTGCTTGTACTAGTCCGGACTGATGTCGATTTATAGTGCTAGCTCACTGAGATACCATGCCGCAGTTTAACATGAATACCCCACTCAGACACAGTACACTGACTCCGAGCCGACCAGTCCTTGTTTTAGCCCCTTAATGCCGAGCGCCAGACAGGGTAACAACAAGTACCATCTTTTAACGTCTTTTGGTATGACGCGGTCGGGGATCGAGCCCCGGACCTTCCGCTCCCCGGGCGGACGCTCTACCACTAGACCACGGAGGCATATGGTCTCTTATGAAACGATTAAATCATGTGTACACTGAAGTTGACTGAAGCTTTTTCTTTACTCAAACATATACAAGTCAAAAGGAATGTGTGCATCATCAGAATGAAATGTGAACATTAGTGACTTGTTGTGTAACCACTGAGCTCGTGTTCGTTTTTGTCATTGAACAATATATCATGTCATGGGCGGATACAGAGGGGGGGTGCGCACCCCCCTTTTTATTTCGAAAAAAATCTTTATTTCTGTATAAATTACCACCAAAGACAATAAATAGATCTGAATTGGGCACACACACACACACACACACACACACACACACACACACACACACCTTTTAAAAAAAGCTGTATCCGCCCATGCATGTTACTAACCACGGATCCGGGTAGTACTGTGAGTACTTGGTCCTACTTCGGACCAACCCGACCCGAGTACCCGAGTCACCCGTCCCAGCCCAAATGATCATGCAGTATAGGTTTTGGGCGTAGAGAATTATGTCATTTCATTAGTGTCAGTAATAGGCGCATGTCAACATATCGTGTTTAGACGAACGAGGAAACGAAAACCTTTTATGAGAGTTAAATATTTGTATTCAGAATTATTACGTTGTCGTCCTGGTGAACAGGAAGGAAAAAACTGAAGTAGCTTGTGACCGAGGGAAGGAAGGGGCCTTCGCCTGGGTCTGTTGCGTTTCGTGATTTTGACCTTAAGTTGGCTTTTATTGCTTTACTATAATTCTACTTTGAGCGTGCATGTTATCAGTCATCAACAGACTGCCTGGCAAGGGAGATAATCCACATTTTACAGCCTCAATCTATGAATTTGTCACTGACCGGAAGAGTTAAAATTTACATGGACAGAATAAACAGATGTAAGACTTTTCCTTCTTTCTTCCTTGCCGACTAAACTATAGTGTTTCTTAAATTTAAAACACCACCTTTCAGATTATATTTCCGCCTTTGATTTCACTGGGTTTATGAAAAAGGACAAGATCAGGGCCCACTTGCACAGAACAATCTTAGTTACAATCGATCTTAGGCGGCTACAATCAACTTTATAATCACCCTACAATTGTCCTATTCCACTTGCACAAACCGATCTTAACGCGATTGTAAGACGGCTTGGATTTAAGATCGCGATCTTAACTAAGATTGAAATCTTCAATGGTGGAGGTACAAATATCTTAAACTAGACTCCTGTCTATGGTTGTCTGCAAACGCGCAAATCTTGCTGCGCATACAACGTGTAGAACCGGTTACGACATACAACACGTACCTCCCTCCACGCGCCTTGCACAGTTGAAAGGTCTCAACTATTTGAAGGAAACTATAATTAGAATGTTGGCATATAGATTTAGTGACATTCTTATTATGAAAGTAAAAAAAGAAAATAATAATAGATCTCTATGTCCAAATAACATAACAGGTAAATGTATGATCGTCATCTATTTGGGGGAGCTTTCCGTAAAATCCTAAATACATGTATATCCTTCATGTTTTAGTTTTGCCGCTATTACAAAGGATGTTATGACAACCTTTTCAAAACACAGTAAGACGGGAGATTTCAAGAATGCATGTACGGGAAATAAGAATAATGTTTCAAGAAAGAAGTTGTTTAATATATATTCATTTGGTATTAATTATATTTTTTAAAAAGTGTGAATTTTACTTTTGCTATTTATGGGATATTTTACACAAATTTCAAATGTCTCATCATGTGTATTTGCTTGTTTGATGAATATTTGTATTAGTTTCTTATAAATTCAGATATTACAACCGCTCGTGACTGTCCCACTCGATTTTGGATATAAACGTATGATTTTGCACTTCAACTTGTGTTTACTTGTAGATTATTTAATGATAAACTAAAGACAAAATAACTGACACGAATGTGACCCAAAAGATATACAAGGGGAGCTCGGCGGTTCTACAACATTAATACACTAACTGGGCAAGGAAGATTCTACGATACTTATACAAAGGGAAACCACTCCCATCTAGAATATAAACTATGATTAGCTGCCCTTGATTTATCTTAAAGGTCACGGACGTTACAAATCGCTTGCAGACGACTTAGGTTTTATCCTTCCCTTGATAAGGTATGTTGTTTTAGACTTCTTTCAGCATTGACACGGGTGGGAATAGTACTTTTAACTATCGACTCGATAGTTATGTGGTTCACTATCGCAATTAACGATATTTTTGACGTTAAATCTGTGGTGCGGTCTTCGTGTTGTTGAAGTGTCGATTCGAATCATAAAATCTAACGAAATAAATAGGCAGTGTTTGATCGTAAAGCAGATTATTAATGTGAAACTGGCCCTGTCTTGCACGCCATTTTGTCAGGGACTACAACGATCTTAGCTACTTAAGATTGGTCTGGACCAATTGTAAGTTTCGATTGTAGCTTACAATGATCTTAACCTACAATCGCTTTGTGCAAGTGGATGACAATTGTAGCGTAAGCCTAAGATCGCGATCTTAAGGATTTACAATAATTGTAGCGCTAAGATCGCTTTGTGCAAGTGGACCCTGGTCTGTTGGCCTGGATAGATCTGAGGCTGTCTACGGGCTTATTCCAATTAATTATGTTATAATAATAATAATTGTAGTTATTATTTTCCATGGCGCCCTCTACATATTCTGGGTCGTGCCAAGGAAGGACCTCCGTGTCAAACCACAAGCATGGTTGTTAGTAGTAGTAGTAGTAGTAGTAGTAGTAGTAGTAAATCAGGGAGCCTGACCACCCGATCCCGTTAGTCGCCTCTTACGACAAGCATAGTCGCCTTTTACGGCAAGCATGGGTTCCTGAAGACCTATTCTATACCGGAATCTTCGCGTGGCAGTATCAGTTATCAGAGACACCGTTTGCATATCTGGTTTAGATAAGAGACCGCGTAGACTGAACCAGTCAGTTGGAAGACATTAATCATAAACGCTTGAAGCCACCCGACTCGTGGTTGATTGGATTTGTGATTCAGCTCTGTGTCATCCATGCTAAGCACTCGGGGGCGAGGGCCCTGTACTTGCTTTAATTAAACTCGAGGACCTCTGGTATAATAAAGTCAACAAAAATGTTACCTAATATTTTGTTACGATGTAGACACACACTTACACCATTATGTGATATTGACGATGAATAAATATCAAAGCTTTCACACCTTTCACACACAATTTAAAGCACATAAAAATCGATCTCACCTGCTAACGCCAAAAAAACATGTACGTGTATTATTTGCAGGTGTTGACAGGCGCTTTGTCAAGCGCGCTGCGTTGTCATGTAAAACACAATAGCATTCATTAAAACACGATTCACTATTAGTTTTATTGTATAACAATTCGCCTAATTATAGGCAGGTTGTGATAACGTCTTAATTCGAGTTTTTACCTTGCAGCTCCACCCCCGGGCGAACCAGTCTTGTGGGTCACTCTCAGCTGGTCTCCTCCCGAACGGCTGAGACGGAGCTTCACCTGAATACCAAGGCGATCATGTGACAGCTATTAATAGCTTCCCACCCGCAATGCATTGTTTGCTTCGAGCCGAGGAAAATCGTTAAGTGTGTTTCCCAGGAGTCTTGGGTCGGGTGGAGAGCATTCTGAGCGTTCGGAGGCGGGTCGATGATAACTGAAAGATACAGTGCTTGGTTAGCTGTCTCTTCCACCACCTGAATCTTTTCCTGAAGGCATTTTCACCTGTGTAGAGTGTACTAATGTGAGGGGTGAGAAGACTGTCGTCCTTCCATTGACACAACTGTGAATAAGCCCTGCATGTGTGACTGAAGGCCCGCTGTGCTCGTTTTATCGGATTTACCTGTGCGTTACCGAGGCGTGGAGTCACAGTGTTGCAGGAAGAGCCAGGTACGTTGGGCCATACAGAACGCTATGCGGTTTTACCTGAAAAAGATTATTCAGTGGTCGTTGGGAGGATGTGTGACCATCGTACTCTTATTAAACCTTTATAAGAGAGATGTGTGGGTGTATGACACGGACGATCAGCCTCTACCCTGGGGACCGGATTTCAAGAGGGACGGGAATCCAAGGCCGCTCACCTTTGACGGACCGAAGATTCACGAACATGTTCACCGTGATATGGTCAGAACGAATATGTCAATCTCAGGCAGTTTACACGTGCAGCATGCGCAACACCCATCATCGGCGACGTCTGTCTATTATAGCCGTGACAATGACAACCAGGATCGTATAGTTAACCAGTTAGCATTTATACCTCCTCCTATCCGAGAAGCAAAAAAACGAGGGGAAGATGCTCCCCTCAAATCTATTCTTCTGTACCACGGATTCGGGGGGTGGCAAGTTAAAAAAGGACAGGAGACGTTCATTGACCAGAAATGTGGCGTTCAACGCTGTGAACTTATTGACAACAAACAGGATGGTGCGAAAGCTGATGCAGTTTTGTTTCATCATAACCCTGCCCGACCCTGGTTCGACCGCCCTCAGAAACAAATCTGGATATTGTTCATGCTCGAGTCACCGTATCACACGGCCGGACTAGGGGCGTTCAAGGACGTCTTCAACTGGACTGCAACGTATCGACACGACTCCACAATCGTAGCTCCTTATGAAAAATTTGTGCCGTACAACTCGAGTGTTTTAACTAAAAAACAAGACAAAAATTATTCCGCGGGGAAAAGTAAAATGGTTGCTTGGTTCGTTTCAAACTGCGGGGCCCGGAACGGTCGTCGAAACTACGCCGACGAGTTGTCGAAACACGTTCAGGTGGACATTTATGGTGCGTGTGGCAAGTTAAAGTGTCCGCGGTACCAGAGCAGTAAGTGCTTTGATATGCTCAACAAAGACTACAAGTTTTATCTAGCCTTTGAAAATTCCAATTGCAGAGACTATATTACCGAAAAGTTCTTCGTGAATGGACTGCAGTAAGTACCCTTTTCTTTTTATGATTGATTTAGCATTCTAAACGTTCTTTCTCCCATGTCTCGATCCGTGAAGATTCTGGTTAGAATAGGTCTTCAGCAACCCATGCGTTCCGTAAAAGGCGACTATGCTTATAAGACCCGTGAAGATCCCGGGTAGAATAGGTCTTCAGCAACCCACGCTTTCCATAAAAGGCGACTATGCTTGTCGTAAGAGGCGACTAACGGGATCGGGGTGTCAGGCTCGCTGACTTGGTTGATGCATGTCATCGTATCCCAATTGCGTGGAACGATGCTCATGATATCACTCACTGGATTGTCTGGTCCAGACTCGATTATTTACAGACCGCCGTCCTATAGCTGGAATATTGTTGAGTGCGGCATCAAACAACAAACAATCTTATGTTTTACACCTGCATGTCAACATTATATTTGCATTGAAATACAATGGATTACTGGTGTTTTATTGCACAAATGCAGTTATCAATGAAACATTATCACTGGTGTCTGTGTGCGTGCGTGTGTGTGCGTGTGCGCGCGTACGTGTTTGTCAATCGCATTGCACACCAACCCCCTATGATTTTTTAGACACAGTACATGTTAACTGCAACTTGGGAATATTGTGCCCCAAATACGAGCTTCATAACATAGCACCCTTTAACCAGAAACAATAATCCAGCGTCCTGTAGTACGGTGATCTGGTTTGTTTGTTGTTTAACGGCGCACTCAGCAATATTCCAGCTACAATGTATATGACGACGGCCTGTAAATAATCCAGTCTGGTCCATACCACCAACTGATTGGCAAACATGCATCAGCCAAGTCAGCGAGCCTGACCACCCGATCCCGTTAGTCGCCTCTTACGACAAGCATGGGTTGCTGAAGACTAGTCATCAAGATATTGTCTTAAAAAGAAATTTGGTTTTGAAAAACTGAATTATCGCTCTTTGCAAAATATTTTCTTTTTCAGGGGTAGTATTGGTTAAATTCAGAGACAGTGCTTTTTAACAACTGTGGTTAGCACTGTTTGCGTATACTAGTCTGGAAAAGGAACCACGTTACCCTTAATATACTACTCAAAAGAAGTTAAGGATCACCCGATTCTTTCATATTGGTAATGTTAATCTGTCATGGCATGAGAGATTAACTATTGTAATATGAAAGAATCGGGTGATCCTTAACTTCTTTTGAGTAGCATATTTTAGAAATCACTCCAAATCAGGTCAAGTCTAGATAGCCTCAGCTTAGAAAGTAACCTTTATTCGGGTCACTATTTGTGTTTTTTATTTTGTAGCTATATGTTTTTAAATAAGATTTTTATTTCTGGGACTTAATGTTGGACTGGTAGAGCGTCCGCCCGGAGAGTGGAAGGTCCGGGGTTCGATCCCCGGCCGCGTCATACTAAAAGACGTTAAAAGATGGTACTTGTTGTTACCCTGTCTGGCGCTCGGCATAAAGGGGCTAAAACAAGGACTGGTCGGCTCGGAGTCAGTATACTGTGTCTGAGTGGGGTATTCATGTTAAACTGCGGCATGGTATCTCAGTGAGCTAGCACTATAAATCGGCATCAGTCCGGACTAGTACAAGCAGCCACACACACACACGTGCATGCACGTCGCTATATAAGTGCAATAATAATCTTGGACGCGACGTTAAACCCAATTTCACCTCACCTACTGTTGGACTGGTGGCGATGCAGAGGGGTAGATAAAACAAAAATATTCCTGTTAGGGTCAAGGTGACATTGCCATCCTCCTTGACAACAATATATACAGAGCGCTTGGTTTCCGTGCGATACCGGCATGTGACGACACCGCTTACGACAAGCATGAGTTGCTGAAGATCAATTATAACCCGGATCTTTATGGAATCCCACTGTGTTTCGAGTCATTAACCTGTTGTGACGAAGGCACCCTATTTGTTGTTGCAGTTGATTCTGAGCTTGGTATACTGAATGTGTATTTTAAACAAGTAAAACTGACACAGCCATAGGTCATCATGCAAACATGAGAGAAAATATACATCAGTCATGTCATAGCCTCCGTGGTCTAGTGGTAGAGCGTCCGCCCGGAGAGCGGAAGGTCGTGGGTCCGATCCCCGGCCGCGTCATACCAAAAGACGTTAAAAGATGGTACTTGTTGTTACCCTGTCTGGCGCTCGGCATTAAGGGGCTAAAACAAGGACTGGTCGGCTCGGAGTCAGTTTACTGTGTCTGAGTGGGGTATTCATGTTAAACTCCTGCATGGTACCTCAGTCCGGCCAAGCGCGCGCGCACACACGCGCACACACACACACACACACACACACACAATAATCTTGGCCTCCACGTTAAACCCAATACTTGTTGTTACCCTGCCTTGCGCTCGACATTAAGGGCTAAACAAGGACTGGTCGGCTTGGAGTCACTATACTGAGTGGGGTATTCATGTTAAATTGCGGCATGGTATCTCAGTGTGCTAGCACTATAAAATCGGCATCAATCCGGACCAGCAAGCAGGGACACACACACGCACGCACACACATGCACGCACGCACACGCACACGTACACACACACACGTACACACACACACACGTTGCTTTTTAAGTGCTTTAATCTTTTGCGTGACCTTAAACCCCATTTCACCTAAGCTTTATATTGTAATATACATATTGTGCAACAGATGTACGTTTTGTCACAGTCGATTATCTCTCTCGTTTTGTATATTAATCAATATATTTAAACCAGATCACGGCGGGGGATGTGGCCAGGTACATATGTCGGGGTCCGTGAAGATCTTGGTTGGAATAGGTCTTCAGCAACCATGCTTGCCATAAAAGGCGAATCGGCTTGTCGTAAGAGGCGACTAACGGGATCAGGTGGTCAGGCTCGCTGACCTGGTTGATGCATGTCATCGTGTCCCAGTTGCGTGGATCTATGCTCATGAAATCAATTCGACTGCCAGCTGATGACTGAAAAATAACTAACCCACGCTAGGTCCGTTATACAACAAGCATGTGAATAGTGAACAAATGTACTGGTAGCTGGGTTATCGTATGATTGGCCCTGCAACCGGCGCTCGATCACGCTTCACTACGCGGAGGACGCTCTTGGCGGCTGAGTGTAGGGTCGACTGTAGGTACATGTATTGGCAGTGAGTCTATATAGACTGTGTGCAGTCTCCCTTGTAAAGGGCAGTGTGTATTAGCGGGATATATCCATTGGGAGTCGTGTTTGTTTGTTCCACGATCCACGTTTTGGATCGATGACATGCATCCACCAAGTCAACGAGCCTGACCACCCGATCCCGTTAGTCCCCTCTTATGACAAGCGTGGTCGTCTTTTACGGCAAGCATGGGTTGCTGAAGACCTATTCTACCCCGGATCTTCACGGGTCTTACTAAGTGTACAGGGTGTCGCCTTTTTCGACAAGCATGGGTTGCTGAAGACCTATTCTACCCCAGATCTTCACGGGTGTATTCTGACATGCATCAACCAAGTCAGCGAGCATGAACACCCGATCCCGTTAGTCCCCTCTTACGACAAGCGTGGTCGTCTTTTACGGCAAACATGGGTTGCTGAAGACCTATTCTACCCCAGATCTTCACGGGTGTATTCTGACATGCATCAACCAAGTCAGCGAGCATGAACACCCGATCCCGTTAGTCCCCTCTTACGACAAGCGTGGTGGTCTTTTACGGCATGCATGGGTTGCTGAAGACCTATTCTACTCCGGATCTTCATGGGTCTTACGACAAGCATAGTCGCCTTTTACGGAAAGCATGGGTTGCATAAGGCCTATTCTACCCCGGATCTTCACGGGTGTTTTCTGACAGTAATCGTGGAGAGTTGACACGCGTCAGTTTAAACTTCACTCACTCACTCACTCACCCACTCACTCACTGACTCCCGCTGTGGATTAGTCAACGAACGTAACCTTGACCTTCTCGGTTGCTATAGAGACGGTACTGAAACTGTTTGTGTTGATTTCCCTTCATATGTCATCGGTGGTAATAAATATAATATATTGCGCGCTTAATTTCATATCAAGTTTATGTCCCTCGTGCTATAATTTTCAATTTGTCCCCGGTACACATCGGCCAAATTATTTCACTCGGGACATAAACTGGATATTAAATTGTAGTCGTGTTATGTCCTGTAACACCTACCCGGATGTAAATCCCAGACAGCGTATGGTTGTTATAAATCAGCGTTAGAAATTGGCACTAGTCCTGTGGTCCTTGACAAACTGCTCAATAGTTAAAGGGGAAGTGTACACGCAAAAATCACTTTCTTTCTTTTTCTAAACAAAACGCAATTTTAGAATTAATTAGTATCTGTGTTTGAAAATATACACTCATTTTTTTCACAGTGAAAGTAGGAAGCTCACAATAGTGTGAAAATGATATGCCGTTATGATGCCTTCGTTTTTCGAGCTAAACAGTCCTGAGTTATCCCCCTTAGATTATGACGTAATTGGTGCCAATTCAACTGGGTCCCTGTCTATTCTCAACGCAAAAGATATCAAGTACCAGTTTGCGGTAAAACAACATGGTCTACGACACACTCCGGCGCAGTGGTGACTCAGCATAACACTATGCTGGCTGGCATCTGAGACGCTAGAATCACACATCTAGACCTACACCACGTGAAGCGGCTCTAACAAAGCATGATGACGTCATAATGTTTATCAATTGGCACCAATGACGTCATATTGCAAGGGGCATAAGCCATGGTGTTTTTGTTGTGGAAATAGAACACTTGGTAAATGTGAAAAATATAAATCGTTTTAATGCGAAAAATATGTTAATTAATTGTGATATTTTTATATTTTTGTCTATGACACTTCTAGGTTAACACTTTTAATGTGGAAAAAGTACAAGAAAAATAGGTTAATTTCCGTGTGAACTTGCCCTTTAAGGTATCGTAAGGACCAGTAGAAATTTGCTATTTTTAAGAATTTTACTATATGTTATCATTATAAGGACTAGTGGGCCACAAATGTTAGTTTCTATGGCTGTAAAT